CCCCAAAACCCCAAAACCCCAAAACCCCATGTGTCTAAATCATAGATAATTAAGAAGGAATGTAATATATTTATTAATAATAAAAAGATAAAAATTTGTAGCTCTAATCATGAATACCATACAAACCAATAGAGTAGATTTCGATAAATGCCCCCCATGTCAATGTGGTAGCAACTTGCCAGCATAATTTGTTTGTCGCTTTAGAGATTCGTGTTCTGGCCTCCTTATGTATTGCGAGGATGATAGTTGTGCAGATCAGCATGAACATAGAATATTTACCATTGCAAGTGTGCTACAACTTTTGAATAAGAAAGTTAGTGACTTCAAGGAATTAGTCAAAATTCTAAAGGGAAAACTAGTTGATAAGTATTAGAAGTATGAGCCCATAATTAAATTCTATTCAGAATGCCAAAAAAACTTAATTGAAGAAGGGTAGATTACAAAAGATGGGAGGAAGCATTTATACTTAGACAAAAGAATTGACTAGATTGATAAACTAAGCAAAGATGTCGACGCTTACTTGGAATCAATAGAACTTCTCCAGCTTGAATACAACTTGATGGAAATTATGGAATTAATGGAAACAAAGGGAAAGGAATACGAATCAGAATACGAATAGGTTTCAACCTTAAGTGATTTGAATGATAAATTGCTTCAAGAGATATATCCAGAAGCCATTGCACTAGACTATGAAAACGAAGATTTAATGAATGAATTTACCCAAGATAACTGGAACACCTTTCACAAACTAAAGAACTATTCTATAAAGAAAGAACTAAATTAAAAAGATAAAAGAATTGCTGACTTAGAGTCTAAAGTATAAATGATTTTAAATAAGCTCTCAGAACAACTTGGATTATGAATTAAGGATTTATTCAAAGCTTTAAGAACTAAAAGCTTCATTAAGTTGAATTGATCAAAAATAGGAAGCTTTACTTTCATTAATAATATTTTATATCTAAGTTAAATATTGATCAAAACCTCTTACTTATCGATAAGATAAATTCTTTCGGGGTTTTGGGGTTTTGGGG